AGGCCTACGCCGCCGCGTCCGCGGCGTTCGACGCCTACCTCGCCGCGGTCGGCCTGCCGGGCGTCGCGGACCGGCGCTACGCGTAGAGGTTAAAAGAATTCACTGGGCGTCGACGTCCATGGCGCCGTCGTCCGGCGGGGCGGCGTCCTTGCCCGGCTTCGTCGCCTTCTTCGCCAACGCCGCGAGGCGCGCGGCCTCCGCGTCCGCGCGGAGCTTGCCCGTGACGCCGATGGGCCGCGGGTGGACGCGCGGCGGCTCCTTGTCCTTGATCTCCTGGAGCCGCTCCGCCATGGGCACGGCGGCCCGGCAGGCGGCCTTGTGGTGTGGCCAGTGGGCCCGCTGGCAGTCGCGGCTGCAGTACTTGGTGCACTTGCATTTCCCGCAGCGGTCGAAGCGGTCCTTGCCGTCGGGCCGCTCGACCTTGCCGCAGAAGGAGCACTTGACGCGCGACGCGTCGGCGTCGAGGCCCGCGACGACGTCGTCGGAGAGCGCGCAGCGCTTCGCGTCGTTGATCTTGAAGTCCGTGATCGTCCGCTGGAGCGTCTCGACGCAGCGGTCGACCTCGGCGTGCTTCGGGTGGCCGAGGTGGCCGCAGTAGATGATGTGGTGCAACAGCGCCGCCTGGCCGAGGTGGTGCGCGGCCTCGTGCCACCACTTGGCGTCCGCGCTCAGCTTGCCGACGGCGAAGTGCATCTGCGCCGTCGCGGTGTTCACGCGCCCGTGCGCGCGCTCCGCGAGGCGGAGAGCCTTGACGGCGTGGCGCAGGGCGACGTTCATCTTCGCCGCGCGCTCCGGCGGGAGCGCGTGGTCCGCGGCGTCGCGGAGCCGCCGGAGCTGCGACCCGGGCTCGCCGAGCGCGACCATGGCGTAGACGGCCGCGCAGTCGTGGTGCCTGTGTGGAAATCAACCACCGGTTGGGACGTCGCGACCAGACTTTGAAATTCTCTAGCTCGGCCAAATCGAAGTCGATTTGGCTGATTTTTGGACGAATCGATCGCTCTCGTCGAGTTCTCGAAGCACAGTTGAAGAGGGCACATCAAAACCGTCGCATACGCTCACATTGAAGTCGGGTTGAAGATTTGATTTCCACGCAGTCGTGGTGCGCGGCGACGAGCTTCGCCTCGCCGGCGGGCCCCGCGGACTCGGCCAGCTCGATGGCCTCGTAGTACTTCTCCAGCGCCGTGTCGTGGTCGCCGGACGTCGCGATGGCCGACGCGAGGTGCTGCGCGGCCTCGGCCTCGAGCAGTGTGGCGTCGTAGCGCATGGATTTGTCCATCTCGCACCAGGGGAGCTCGAGGCGGCCCCGGGCGAAGGGGCCCTTCGCGTCCGTGGCGATGGCCCGCAGGGCCTCGCACTTCTCCCGGGCCGCGCGGACGTAGCGCTTCTGGCCCTCGTTCGGCAAATTCGCGAGCCCCTCGAAGGCGAAGATCTGGACGAGCAGGATCGTCGCGACCTCCGGCGCGCCGGCGCCGAAGAGTGTCGTCGCCGTGTCGAGGATGCCCTCCAGGCTCCGCCAGACGCACTCGTCCATGGCCTCGGAGCAGACGACGTTGCGGTAGGCGATGCACTTGCGCGCGACGTGGCCGACCCAGTCGACGTCGACGCGCATGCGCGCGTCGTGCTCGCGCCAGACCGGCGGCGCGGCGCCGCGGGCGATCTTCTCCGCCGTCGACTCGTCCGGGTCGCAGTCCTTGAACGCGTCCGAGCCGACGACGACGGCGTGGAGCGCCTCGGCGACGTTCCGCAGGTCCGTGCACTTCTCGCGCCGGTCGCGCACGACGACGAGGTCCTCGAGGGTCGCGAGCTCCGCGTGCGTCTCGCCGCCGAAGCGCACGCCCACGACGTCCTCGCCGGCCTTGGGCTCGGCGACGACGAGGCCGCGGCCGGGCCGCCCGCCCAGGCGCCGCACGACGCAGCCGCGCCGCAGGTCCATGGGCTCCTCGCCGTCGGCGCGCTTCAGGGGCGGCGGCGGCGCGTGGGCCGCGTCGACGGCGAACCAGTGCGCCGCCGGGTTCGGCGCGTCGGCCGTTAGTGGGTGGGCCATTAGCGCTTCCCTTAAGGTTACACTCCAAGTCTGAGCGGTCTCGGCGCTCGTCAACGGCCGTCGGCGCCCATCGCGAGCTTTCTACGAGCTGCCCCAAATTCACGTTCGGCCTATAACAAGTTCAAGTTGATCTTCAACCAAACCTGCGGGAGGCCGCGCGCGCGCGACCGGCCGCGCGACCCCCGCGCGCACAACCGTCCAGGCAAAAAACCACGATGGCCGCCTACTTAATCGTGCCGATGGCGAACTGGCCCGGCTGCGCGGGCACCGTGGCCTCGCCGTCGTACTCCTTGAGCGTCAGCGCCGCCTGCACCGTCAGCGTGAAGGGCAGGGGCGTGCCGAACTCGTCGGCGACGGTCTCGATGACCATCTGGATGCGCTTCTGGTAGGGCAGCGAGATCTTCGGCGACGACATGAAGTCGTCCGTGACGACGACGACGTTGAACGCGGACTCGTCGTGGATGTCGCCCTCGCTGACGTTGTCGCACTCGATGGACTGGGGCGCGTAGCGGCCCCGGAGCACCTTGATGATGCGCAGCCGCCGCGGGCCGTATTGGTACTCGGGGTCCAGGTCCTCCTCGACGACCTCGACCTTCTTCCGGGAGAAGAGGCCCATGCTTTTGTGTGGTTATTTTTTTGGCTCCCAGCTTTTTTTCGCGGTGTTCCTTTCCTCTCCGAGCTACTATTTGCACGTTCGGCTACTCGCGTGAGAGCACGGCTGCCATTTCGAAGTCGATTTACCAGCAGGTAAACGTTTTGATTGTTGAACTTTTACATGTATATCCTAATCAAACGCCGTCGACGCACCGAGCTTCGTCGGATTGTTCGTCGTCCATCACACGCGCTCACCGACACCATGTCCTCCTGGCGCGAATCGGCGGGGCGGAAGGAAGGGAACGAGGGCTACCGCTTCGGGGACCTCACGCGGACCCTCGTGAAGAAGCTCATCGTCGGCGGCGAGGAGGTCGTCGAGTCCAAGCTCCCGAGCCGCATCGCGCGCACGGTCAAGCGCTACGGCTGGCGGCCGGACCTCCCGGACCACCGCGACCTCAAGGCCGACTTCAGCCACATCTTCGCGGCCCTCCCCACGTCCGTGGACCTCCGCGACAAGTGCCCCGACTTGTACGACCAGGGCGAGCTCGGCTCGTGCACGGCGAACGCCATCGCCGCGGCCTTCGAGTTCGACCAGCGCAAGGAGCTCATCGCCGAGTTCAAGCCGAGCCGCCTCTTCATCTACTTCGGCGAGCGCAAGATGGAGGGGTCCTGCGACTCGGACTCGGGCGCGATGATCCGCGACGGCATCAAGGTCGTCCACAAGCTCGGCTGCTGCGACGAGGCGCTCTGGCCCTACGACGTGGACAAGTTCACGGAGGAGCCCCCGCAGGCGGCCTACGACGCGGCCAAGGCCCACAAGTCCGTGCGCTACTACCGCGTCGCGCAGCACGAGCGCATGCTCAAGGGCTGCCTCGCCGCGGGCTACCCCTTCGTCTTCGGCTTCACCGTGCTCTCGTCCTTCGAGACGCAGGAGGTCGCGGACACGGGCGTCATGCCCATGCCCGCCGACGGCGACAAGCAGCTCGGGGGCCACGCGGTCTGCTGCGTCGGCTACGACGACGACAAGCAGTGCTTCGTCGTCCGCAACTCCTGGGGCAGCTCCTGGGGCGACGGCGGCTACTTCTACATGCCCTACAAGTACATGACCGACAGCGGCCTCGCGTCCGACTTCTGGACGATCCGCTGGGTCGAGTGAGCCCGCGGCCCGGAGCCCCGCGCCGCGCGACCACGCTGCACATACGCCCGGGCGCCGCTGTACATAACCGACACATAGGGCGCTGCTCGCTACCATAGCCCGCCGGCGGGTTATGTGGAACGCCGGGGTTTCGGGAGGGCGTAGGGAGGGCGACGGCATATAGGCAGGCCTATAGGCTAAAGGTGCACCCGCCTGAAACTCAGTTGCACCTCGTCATCGGCCTCTTGGCCGTGTCATTCGGCTGAAGGTTCGATGCGCGCGCCGTAGAGTCGCCCTTGGGGATTGCGCCGTAGAGTCGCCGACGCAATTTACAATTCATGTGCCTGCCGCCGGATCGCAAGACCGTCGCGGCGAATGAGGTCGACGGCAGCGGCGCGATGGCGGCCTCCGGTGCGCCGGCGGCGAAGGCGCGGGGCCGCTGGGACCTGCCCATGCCGCGCTTCAACGCGGCGCACGCTCCCTACCCCCTGGACAAGCGCCTGAACCTCCTCTTCGAGTTCCTGCCGGGCGTCCAGCTGAGCCCGCTCTACCTGCTCCAGCTGCCCGTCTTTCTGTGCCTCGCGATCGCGTACCGCGCCGACTTCCGGCCGCGGCTGCTCGGGCCCATGTTCGCCCTCTACCTCTTCCGCGAGTGCTTCGGCATGTCCCTGAGCCTGCACCGCTACTTCTCCCACAAGGGCTTCCGCTGCGGCCGCGGCGCGCAGTTCGCGCTCTGGTGGCTCGGGTGCATGGCCTGCCAGGGCCCGCCGCTCTGGTGGGCGTCGAAGCACCGGCGGCACCACGCCAAGTGCGACACGGAGGATGACCCCCACACGCCCGTCTGCTTCAACCCGCTCTACGCCTGGGTCGGCTGGACCTACCTGCCCGGCGCCGAGGGCCCGCTCGGGCGCGGCGTCGACGAAGAGTACGTGGGAGACCACATGATCTTCCCGGAACTGGTCTACGGCGAGACCTTCCACATGGTGCCCGTCTTCGCGACCCACGCCGCCTGCTACGCCCTCGGCGGCGCGCCCGCCGTGGTCTACGTCTCCATGCTCAGCGGCATGGCCTGCCAGTTGGCGACGATGTACTTCAACGTCGCCTTCCACACGCCCGAGGGCGGCGGCTCCCACGAGGCGGACGGCGAGTGCCACGCCCGCGACATCCCGTGGGACCCGCTGTCGAACATCTTCGGCGAGGCCTACCACGCGTGGCACCACATCCACCCGCGCGCGCACTGGCGCCCGGGCGTCGACCTGCCCTACTTCTTGGCCATCAAGCCCATGCTCATGCTCGGCGTCTTCCAGGGGCCCAACATCATGCACAAAACCAAGCTCGCCGTCCGCGGCTTCGACGCCAAGACCGGCGAGAAAACCGACGCGGAGAAGCAGTACTGATCGCCCAGACGACCGTCGCGCTCGTCCACTCTCGTACCAACGCCGCCTGCTCAGCTACTCTCGCCCAGTTCCTCACGTGCTTTTGCTCCCTCATCGTCTCCGCTTCCAAAAACGAATTCGACGCAAACTCGCTCGCCCCGCTCGCTCCGACGCCACTCTCGCCCCGTTCCTCGTACTAGCCGCGTCTTACATACATGTTACGAAGTACTTAGGAGTGATGACCACCGCGCGATCGTGGACGATCTTGCGCGATACCGAGCGATCCCGGCGCGGGCGGCGGTTTGGGGCGGCGGCACCCGTCATCACTGCGAGCGACGATGTGGGCAGACAGGCCTGCAGACGGAAGCGCAAACCTCCGATTGTGGCGAGCCGAGGAGCCCTCGGCCGATCGGCCGCCTCTCGCCGTGGTAGCCCTTCTGCCGCGCCGCTCGAGAGAAATCCTCGCGCCATGAGCGTCGCGCGGTTGGCGGCGAGCTGCGCCGCGGCGGCGTGCGCGTCGACGACGGCGGCGCGCCTCGCGGAGATCCCCAGCGGCTGTCCCATGCACGCCGACCGCCAAAAGGGTGCGAAGAAGCCGCCGAGCGGCTGCCCCATGCACGCGGCGGCCGGCGGCACGGACGCGCGCAACAACATGCCCGCGGTCGCCGCGCAGGAGCGCGCGCCGGGCCAGGAGGCCGCCCTGTCCACGGAGCGCGTCGAGAGCAGCATCCCGACGCTCGACGCGGGCTCCCGATGGACGT